ACCACTTTTTAATTACTCTTATTGTACATAGGGAAGATATTTTTCAAAGTTTCATGAAACACATTGTTTCAAAGGAAATCTGTTGAGCACTTCATGAACTTAACTGTTTCTGAAGTCTGTTGAAATGCTGTACTTTTTATTGTTGTTTGACTGAAGTTAAAGGATGACTTTGATTCCTGGCCAAAAAAATTCTTGAATATCTTATTAAAGGAATAGCTTATAAACATCTAGAAAAGGAATCAAATCATTAAGTCCTGTTTCTTATGCAAACTGACTAACCCAGGGCAATTCAAGTAACTGGGCAAGTCACATAATCTTTTAGTGCTATCAGGCAACTCTCTAAAATTATGTTACAAAAAAGTTTTTGATCTATATTAGTGAAGGAGTTTCCTAACCAGAAGTTCTCTAAACCAGTGAAATCACAGATCTTCTCCTCCCCAGCAGCAATAAAAAAGGCACTAAAAAATAATGTGGATTCATTAAGAACAGCTCATTCCATACTCACCGTTTTTCCTTTGCTTGGTAAAAAAGGGAGTTCAGTAGACATAATTGACCTTTAGACTAAAGCAAAGAATATCACAAAGTCTCTCATGATATCCTTATGGACAAGATGTGGCCTAGAAGATAACTCGTCCAGGAAGGTAACTTTGGCATTTGTTGAATGAGTGGAACCAGAGGGTAGTCATTAATGGATCAGTGTCCATTTGGGTGATTTATCTCGATTATCATGCTCAGTTCTGGACACTACAGTGTAGGAAAGATGTTGATAAGTTGGTTAGTGTCCAGAGGAAGGTGGCCAGGATAATGAAAATCCTAAAGGAGTATGCCACACAAGAGGAGTTGAGAATGTATAACCTGCAGATGAGAAATTTGGGTAGAGGAGGGATATAGTTGAAAATCCAAGCTGGACCTTGAGGAAAGAGAAGAATTCCATAAGATTAAGATGAAGATGGAGCACATTCCAGGCATGGTGTATTACCTGGATAAAGGCACAGAAGTGAGATAGGATAGAATAAGATCCAGGAGAAGCTGTTATTTCATTTTGGATAGAGCATGCAATATTTGAAGGGGATTCGTATAGAGTAAGAAAGAAAAGGAACAATGAATAAGAACAAGTTCCTACTGTGAGCCAGGCACACAGTGCTAAGTGTTCTACAAATACCTCATTGGATCCTCACCACAGTCCTGCAAGCTAGGTGCTGTTATTATCCCCATTTTGCACTTGAGGAAACTGAGGCAGATCGAGGTTAAGTGTTTTGCCTTGGATTACAAAGCTATCAAGTATCTGAGGTTGGTTTTGAACTAAGATTTTCCTGACTCCAGACCTCAGTTTATCAACTGCACCACCTTGTTCTTCTAATAAGGTTGGAACGTCACATTAGAGCCAGATTGGGCAAAGCCATAAATGCCAGGATAAGGTATTTACATTTTAGAGGCATTAGGAGGTCACTGAATTTTAATACAGATAGTTCTTGCTTTATGGAAATTCTCATTATGCACATTTGACTTTATGTAAAGACTTCTGAAACAAATCTACATTCCAAAAAAACACCTGTATTAACTTTACTACGCAGTATTGTGCTCTCTCTCTCTCTCTCTCTCTCTCTCTCTCTCTCTCTCTCTCTCTCTCCCTCTCCCTCTCTCTCCCTCTCTGTCTGTGTCTGTCTTTATTCCTCCTCTGTCCCTCTGCTTGGCACCTGGTCCTCCCCCCCCCAAAACAAAACAAAACAAAACAAAACAAAACAAAAACACACCTGCCAGGTTAAAAAAAGAAGAATGGACACATGGAAAGACCATTGCCTGCAATGCCACTACCAGATTGGAAGCTTGGCTTGAGGCTGCAAAGAGAGGAGACCTTTGCCCTGTTCTGCCCAACCACCTGTGTGTCTGGCCCCCATGAGTCTGTCCTTGGCCTCCCTCCCCCATGCATGTCACCCATACTCTCTTGTCTTTGTCGAACCTCATTTGTCTGCCCCCCCCACCCCCATTTATTCTTCCAGGTCCTCTATGTTCCTCCTCCTGCTCTTGCTTCTCTTTTCCCAGCCCTTACTTTACTTTGAGGTCTACAAAAGGTCCATTTGCTAAAGTGAGGACTGTCTGTAGAGGCTTTTTAGTGCCCTTCGTGTCTTGGTGACATGGTCAGACCTGTGCATTAAATTATTTTGGCAGCTCTGAAAGATTAATTGAAGAAAGGAGTAGATGGATACTGGAAGGTATGTGTTCAATACAGTAGGCCAGGCATATGACAATGATGTCTTGAAGCTTATGGTGATAGCAGTGTGACTGAAAAAAGGAACTGGTAGTTCAAGGATGCATGTTGAGATAAAATCAATAGGACTTTGAAATGTTTGTTTGTAGGCAGTGAGGAAGACAGATGCTGCAAAGATAAATTGGAAGTGCCTTAAACAGACGCAAGCAAGCTGTGGGGAGAAGCAGATTCTAGTTGGGAGGAGGAGAGAATGGTGGATTTAGTTTTGGACATGTTTAGTTTGAGGTGCTAATGGTGATATCAAGGTCCAGATGCCCTTCAGGTAGTTGGAAATTCCAGACTAGAGCTCAGGGAGAGATTTAAACTGGTTATGTAGAGGAGATAATTGAAAAGGTGTGATTTTAACTTCACCATCCTCACTGCAATGTTAGAGCTGTCTGTTACCTTAGAGAAATCACCCAGTTCAACCCCCTTATTTTATAGATGGAGATTGAGACCTGAAAAAAGTGATTTGCCAAAAGTAACAGAAATCCTATTTGCACCTCTACCTTCTGACTCCAAGTCCAGGGCTCTTTCCGTCACACCACAATGTCCCATGTTACCAATGCATCCTTAGATTATTAGTCGAATTGTCCAAATGTCTGCTGGTTTCCTAGACAGTTTTGAGCTTAAGAAAATTTTAATATTTTAGCTTCATGTTTTAAAGGCTCACTTCACATCGTGAAAGAACTACTTAGCTATCAGAAGTGTCTTTGCATGAAATTCATATAGAAGGTTCTATCCTGCCTAGCAAGTGCATCAGTGGTGTTAAGAGCTGACTGTTAACAAAGCCTTATTTATTCCTGAGAGGCTGTTGCTGTGAGGCCCACTTGCCACACTTCACATCAAACAACAGAACAGAATCTCTACTAATGATGTTCTGAAGTGCTATCGCTGCCCAGGCACAGAAGCTGCCAGGCTGAAGTAATCGTGGAAAGTGATGAGCTGAGGGCAGATTGCCAAAGGTGTGGCTGAATGGTAAACTGTAGGAGAGCAGTCATGAATGAAGGGAGCCTTTGGGGACTGTTTAAGGTAATATTGACCCTGAGAGCAGCTGGAACTTGCCATCAGCCAGCAGTAGCTCATCTTGGAGTACTTTCTCAAGGTGAGACTGTGAGAAAAGTCCACAGAAAATGGAGAGGCACTACAGACATTCAGAGGATGTGCGCTTCCTCAAATCAATGTGAAACTGCTGTTATCAGAATCCCTATTCATTCACAAAGGAATATCATATTAGACAACAGGAGTGTGTAAGCTAAAATGAGAAGATTGTAAACAAATGAACTCCTTTTATTAATTGCCTACTGTGTGCCAGGCAGGAAGTGCTAAATAAACAAGTAAGAAAAAGAAAGACAGTTACTGCCCTCAAGGAGCGTACAATTTAATGGGGGATGACACACAAAAGGAAGCTGAAAAGTAGGGGAGAGAGGGAGATAATGGGGGAGGGACAAGGTACTAGCATTGGGGCCGTGATGATGGTGGAATCGAGGAGTGCAACTGGTGGGAAACAAAGAGTTGTCTGTACTTCTGAACCCTCTTCAAATGGGGCCTTTGGGAGGAGGTGGGCTTTTTGGTTTGGTTTGGTTTGGTTTGGTTTTGCTCAGTCAGAGGGGAAGAGGCTATTGAGGATACTGATGAGGTGTGAGTACCAAAGCCAGTGCAGTTCTGTGATGGTGAGTTTCTTGGTGATAAGCTTTTCCTGGAGAGGCGGGGGCAGGGAGAGGAATGATTATGCTTAGTGCAATGATGTTCATCCTTGGATGCACAGTATATACAAATATACCCTTTATGCATTGACACAGAAGTTTGAATCTGTAGGTAAAAGGCACAGGATGTGCCATGCTTAAAAATGAACATGGGTGAAATTCTTAGATGCGGTTGGCACACAGGACTGTGGGAGAAGAAGTCATGTGTAATTGTCAAGAAGCAGCTGAATGATAAATAATCATCATAATGACAACCACCAACAATTACATAACACTTTGATTTCCAAAATGTTTTGCATATAACATCTCATCTAAGCCTCAAAAAAATCCTGCAAAGTAGGTAATGCAGGCTTTATTTCCCCATTTTGCAGAAGAGCAAAGTGGTGATATAAAAGTGACTTGCCAAAGGTCACTAGTACTCAGCTAATAAGTGTCTAAAGTGATATTTGAACCTAGGTCTTCTTGACTCCAATTCTAGCATATTATCTACTATATTTTCCTTATCAGTGTGCCAAATGTGATACAGCATCAAATTAGGCACAGGCCTCACTTAACAATTAGTAATACTGTCTAGGTTGGCAGGTTCTTATTTCATACTATTCAGAGTATTTCTGGAGAGGAAACGGTTCAAATTAATATCTTAAATGAAGACACTAAGAATAGAAACAGAGGGTTTGTCAATATGGAGTTAAAATTAAAAAGTTTTCCTTGGGCTAGAAGGTGCTTGATTCCACCTTCATTCATTTTTTCTTATGGACTCAGAGTTGAATAAGACATTAAGGGAATCCTAGTCCAGCCTCCATCCCATATGGAAATCCTTTGTGTGCTGGATTCAAAAGGAAAATAGATGTCAGAATTCATCTGTTAGAGAATTGAATTAAATTTTTTAGCTTCCAAAAGTGTTTTGATTTGATGTCCCATTGTAAAGGACAGTAAATAGCAAGCAAATGCAAACATCTCAGATTTACAATAAAGTGGCTACCTGTACAGTGGAAGGGCTATGTTGTGAATTTGTACATGAAATTTGTTCATATTTCTTCTTCTAGAGACTTAATACCTATCGTTGCTGCTCTGGAATACAATCAGTGGTTCACAAAGCTGTCCTCTAAAGATCTAAAATTGGTAAGTGATTTTTTTTTTAAAAGAAAAATCCCAAACCTATACATGTCAGTTTTGCTTTGCTGTGTTTAGATTATTTAAAAAAAAAAAAAGGTGAAGTTTCTTTACCCCTCAGTACAAGAGGCTTGCATCTGTTACTCTTTCTAGAAACGACTTGCCAAGCATTCTGCAAAGCCTGTAATGTGAGATGCTTCAGAAAAGTGCTTTAGCTCAGGTTTTTTAGGTGCTTCAGGCAATTTTAGATTAGACAGGAAGCTCCAACCAGTTGGCAAAAACTGTAAGGGTTACGTTTGCGCAGCTGGTACAGAAAAAACAGATTTTACATTCCTGTCATGGCTTCCTTTTTTGAATAGTCCCTTTTGCTTAAAGTTAGGGAAAAGTTGACTGATGTAGTTGGTCTGGTCCAATAGTAATAATAAACGTTACTTTTTCAGCTGAGGCTTTTATTGTGTGTGTGTGTCTGTGTGTCTGTGTGTGTATGCATGAACACACAGGTGCAAGAGAACCAGGAAATCCAGAGCATCCAATAGTAGGTAAGCCATCAACATGGCAATAAAAAAGGCAAAAAAAGTTTTTTGAAACTGGGGAAACTCTTACCTCAAGGCAGGAATCATCTTGCATAGTTTGGGTTAGGAAAGGAGTTTTGCCTAGCATATGGTCAGTCTAGAGCCTGTAAGTGGCAACAGATGAATCCTGTTAGTGATGTCTGGAATGGGGAAAATGGGATTGGCAGTAAGGAGAGATTCAGTGCTAATCCAAGGGTAGTGTCTCCCTGGTGTGTTGCTTTCTGCTACCCAAGTTTTTCTTTAACAGGTACATTTCAGGAAGGGTTCTGATAGGCCTCTCTAAATTCTAAGCTTTGGAGTTGGACCCAGATCATTAGTCTAACCATGATTGTGTCTACATATCCTCATTAGCATATTATTCTCTTTTTATTAGAACTGAATCACCCATCCTCTCTGTTCCTAGATAACAGTAAGACAAAAACCAGTCAGTCAATAAAGATTTATTAAATGCTTACTATGTTCTAGGCACTGTGCCAAGCTTTGGATTGGTGTCAGAAAAACTGAATTTTCAACTAGTTTCACCATTTGCTAGCCATGTGACTTTGTTAATGTCACTTAACTTCTCATCTTTAAAATGGTATCTATCCCCCTTCTCTCTTAGAGTTGCTATGAGGATAAAAATGAGTTAATGTATGTAAGAAGCACTTGGTGAGAAGTAGAATACTACACAAGTAAAGGGTAGGTGTTTATAATTGTAGTTGTTCATAAAGGATCTTAGAAGCCTGCTAATCCAACCCCCTCTGCTTATGGATGAGGGAAGTGAGGCCCAGAGGTTGAGATTTCCCCAGGTTTCATCCAGGTAGTAAGTCACAGCTAGGATTTGAACCTTGGCCCTCCGACTTCAAAACCTAGCACTGTCTCTACGATACTACACTGCTTCTTGTTATAGCTTACATGGAAATAGGATTATTTTTATTATTAGCAAAATACGAGAATCATCACGTGCCTTCATTATTCCAGGAATACTAGTGCATGGAGTAGTATTATATTATTGGATATTTAAAATATTAGAAATAGTGTAATAGGATTCAGAGATAGAAGGGACCATAGAGATAATTTTGTGCAGCTCCTCAATTTGTGAATCAAGAAAATGAAGTCTAGAAAGATGTAGTTACTTAGACCAAAGGTTACAGAAAAACTGAAAGTAGATTTCATGTCCTGCTTCCAGTTTGGAACCCTTTTCCAGTATTACTGTAAAGTTGAGAAGGAACTTTATTTCATGTTTGTGTCTCATCTGTAGTATTTATTAATATCTATTAACTAAAAGAGGAAGAATGAATGTTGGAAAAATTGATTTAAGATCACCATAAAGATTCAAGATGGTACCATTCTCTAATGTTAGCACAGGGATCTTTATTAGTATAAAAGAAATGACATTATCCTGGAGAGGCCTTCTAATTTGAAAGGAAACCAGCTTTATAATTCACACTGGTACAAAAATGATAAAATTCATTGCTGGTAGGATTATGAAAAAAAAAAGATACCTCTTTACATTACTAGAGAAACTTAAAGGTGGTGGGATCCTTTTGGAGAATAATCTGTTAGTGCACTGCAAATGTTCTGAGTAATAAAACCTATTTAAACCATTAATCCTGTTATTGGCAATATATTCTAATCATGTATTCAAGAAGGAAAAATAAAAAACAAAATACTCAAAAGATATTCATAGCAACAATAATTTTGGAAATCTATACAACCACATTAGGAAGTCCTCATTGACGAAAGGTGTGTTAAACTTGGAATCAGGTAAACTGGGTTCATATGTTGCCTCCAAAACTATTTTTGGTCCCAGTGGACAGGACTTCACATGTCTGAATTTCATTTTCCTCATATGTAAAATGTTATGAGAAAAAATGCTTTATTTAAATGTGAATCAAACTGTATGTGTATAAATTTCCTCATATTTAAAATAGCCTTTGCCCAGAATAACCATTAAAGTCCCTTCCAGATTTAAAGGTCTATGAAATCTATTACTGTCAATATCACCAAATATACCCAGTTTCTCAGAATTTCAACTTTACAGTTACTGCTTTACTTCGATCTTCCATCAACCTCAGATCATTATCCATCTATTTCTCCCTCCTCCATGTTTTTTAGATTCCCCCTTTGCTCTCCCCATGTCCTTATCATCTAGGTTCCTAGCTCATCTTCTTTCTTCTAGTCTCTTTGTGTTCCAGGCTCTCCTAGACATAATTGCTAGTAGTATGCTTCCAACCCGATTAAATTGAAGAAATATTTCAGAACACCCATTGTTGGGTCATGTATGTACTGCAAACCCATAGGGGCTCCTTGTTCCTTCTTATATCACTCTTCAGACTCATTTTAAATATGTCCACTACCTTACCAGCGGCATCTCTTGCTTCTTGCATTTGCCTTTTCCAAAGCTAATATACTTTTACTATCTCTCACATATTACTCATTATTGCTTCTGAGACTTTATCCTTTCCTCCATGTTCACCCACAATGTCCAACTATCTCAGGCCACATTCACTATTTCTTAAAAAGAATTTGCTCAAAACTCACCCTTATTCAAGAAGTCTTCCTTCAATGATACCCACCCCACTCTGATCCCAACACTTTTAATGTGGTGTTTTATAGTATTTTCTTAAAATTGTTTATATGGGATTTTTAATGGTTTTCTAATTACACTTGCATATACACTGTTCAATATATCTATTACTTGTTCTATTGCATCAGCCTCCTGTCTCCAGTTCCCTTATCTTCTCCAATCCATCTTTTATCAAACTAAAATAATCTTTTTTTAAATATAAACATATAAATAAAAATAAAATAAACTTTTATCAAACTAAAATAATCTTAGTGCATAGGTCTGTCTTTTACTCTCATTTAAAAATTAGTTGATGGTTCTCTACTGCCTTTAGGATAAAATGCAAATTTCTTAATTTAGTATTTTTAAGGGCCTTTCCATTCTGTCTCCAACCTGCATGTGTGCCTTCTTGTAATGTGTATTCAAACCCAGGCTCTTCTGTTTCAGGTACTTAATAAATATTTGTTGAATTTGAATTGACTTCCATATAAAATGGCTGCTCTTTCCAAGCAGTCATTCAGTCTATTTCTTTTGTTTCCCCAAACACAGTAACTGGAATTTAGTAAATAGTAAGGTAATTGTCACATTCTACTTTGTTTATTGTCACATGTGTATGCACCTAATACTTTTTTTAAAACTGTGAATTCCTTGAAGGTATGAACCCTATCTGAATCATCCTTTTGTCACTCACAGTGCCATATATGTAGTTGTTATTTAGTAAATTTTTATTGAATAAATGTATGGTTGTAATCATTTCCCATATTTTGCTGCTCAGATACTAACGCGTTAAAAGGAAGTTGGCCCAATTTTGACCAAAAGATTCTTTAATCCCTTATATCCTGGAGTTTTGTTTTGCCCGTGAAATAAACATATTCTTTTAGGTCCGTATTTGTTTCAAGTATTTCTTGAGGGTAAATCATGGTATCCCAGAAGAATATATAGTCATATATTTGGTTTTAGAAGTTAGATGAGTTAACAATTTTTATTGTGACAATACAGAAGAACAGTTTTCTTTCAACATATATAATAAAGGCATTTGGCAAAAAGGGGTGACAATTTGAGAATCAACATGATCGGCATAATGTAATTTGCAGGCATAAGGTTAAAAGTAATGAATTTCCACCGCCATATCACCTGTTTCTTTTGTGATTGCAGAACTATGAATTTCAGTATAATCCATCTCCAGAATTATGATTCCTTTGGATGGAATAAGACAGCATATAGGAATGGTCAGGCACTATTCTTCATGAATATGTATTTCTAAGCTATTTTCTCTTTTCTTTTTTTTTTACTATTTTTTCAAAAGGAAACTTTTATTCCTGGTATTAGACTGAATATTTTCAAGTTCTAGGCACTGTTGCAATAATTGTCAGTCCTATGGTCTATGTGATTAGACAAGGCAATGAACCATAATATTTAAAAATGGTGTTCCAAAAAAAAAAGCCACATTCACTACCACATTTAGTAAAGTCCACAGAGATTTATTTTTGTTTTCTGTTTAGGCCTAAATATTCAATCTTAAAGAATTTACATAGACACTGAGAAAGGAAGTATGGTGCCATAAATAAAAAACTGGCACTTTAAGTGGAGAATATCTCAGCTGAAGTTCCTAATCTTCCATATACTAGCTTATGACATTTAATCTCTCAGTATCTTTGGCTGGATTTGTCAAACTTGTAGCCCACAAAACTCCAGTATGGGTTTATAACTAGATTAAAATGGAATTGGGAAATGTTTTTTGAAAATAAGTAAAAATATATTATAACATAGATAATGTTGATTTGTGGTTTTATAAGTCAATATTCAGCTGGCAGGGATCTATTTCTATTTGAGTTTGACATCACAGCCCTAGACAGCTGTGAGATATTGACAAATTCTTGATCTTTATCAGTAGAGGGAGATTGCACTGTGGGAGCTTTCCAAACTATATAAAGTTTCAGTCTAGATTTTTGTCCACCTTCCCCTCCCCCTCATTAAAATAGCCATAGACACTAAATTGTTATGCCAACTCTTTTTTAAACTTTTATTTTTAATTTATGGAATAAAACAAGCATTTCTATAACAGTACAATAGAAAAGATAAGTGCACATGAAACAACAAATCTACTATGCACAACATGCTGTTCCTTTCAAATATGCAACAGATTATCATGTAAATTTCTTTTTTTTTTCTTCCTGCCTGAGAGATGGTTGAGTTTCTTATCTTATTTTCCTCCTTTCCTGATTATATATTAAACTCATGTATATACATTAGGCCTCTTAAAAGATCCATGTTCTCTGGACACTGATAGCACATTTCACCTTTAAAAATACACTTGTATATGTATGTGTACATATATGCTATATATACATATGCACAATACATGTCCATTTTATTGAATTTTTAAACATTATTGCCACTTCTTCTTTTTTTTTTTTTAAGGCAATTGGGTTAAGTGACTTGCCCTGGGTCACACAGCTAGTAAGTGTTATGTGTCTGAGGCCGGATTTGAACTCAGGTCTTCCTGACTCCAGGGCCAGTGCTCTATCCACCATGCCACCTAGCTGCCCCCATTATTGCCACTTCTAAGTGATTACCATAACAAAAAGGAGACTCTTCCTTGTAACAACAAAAAAAAATACAGTTAAGCAAATCAAATAAGTATATTGGTCATTCCTGGTAAAGTAGAACTTCTGTTTCCCATACTCTCTCTGTATAGATACACCATCACCTCTTTGTTCCCAATCTTCTTGGCCTGCATTCCTTACTTTCAATCCTCTCAAATCAAGATTGGACATAGTATTGATTTGAATTCTGATATTTTTCAGTGTTGATTTTCTTTACTTTATTATAGTCCGTTGTAAATTGTTCATCTGATTCTGCTTGTTTCACTTTGTATCAGTTCATAGAAATCTTCCAAAATTCCTTTAAATTTTTATAGCACAATAATAATTTGTTATTGTGCTACAATTTGTTTTCCCAATACTTGGTATCTACTTTGTTTCCAATTGTTTGCTACCACGAGAAGTGCTATTCCCTATACATGCATATATAGGATATCCCAGAAGGGTTAATATAGTTTTAAGCTATTAACGATATTAAAGCTTAAAATTGCACTAAGACTTTTGGAACAGCACAGAAACATGTACGTATTTATGCATGTAAACACATACATGTGCATGGATATATACATACATGTACATACACATACTTACATCTATCCCAGGGCTGTGATGGAGCCAGCTTAAACCTGTTTCTGACTAAATTTTCAGTATGAGAATTTACACCTTTGAAATCAGTAGATGGTTCAAGTCAGAGCTTGTTTACTTTTTTGATTATCTGGACTTAAGACACTTTTGGAGAAAATGTTAATAATGCACATTGCCTGGGAAGTGTATATAAATGCTTATTTCCTTCCCCCTCTTTCCCTTTCAAGAGAGATGTGGTTAAACATTTATTTACCAGCACATCCTTGCCTGTTTATATACCTATATCTTTACCTATACTTGTGCCTATCAGGTTTCCCTCTTTGACCTCTTTACAGTATATGTCTTATAGCAATATCATTGAGTTGAAGGATACCTATGGTTCAATGACATTACTAGTATAGTTTCAACTTGTTTTTCAGAATTTTCAGATAAGTTTACAGCTCTACCATTTGAGCACTTATTTTCCTCCAATATTTACCATTTTTTGGTTTTTGTCAGTCTAGACATGAATTGAATCTTGAGACTTTTAATTTGCATTCCTCTTCTTAACATAGAATAAACAACAATCCATTCAATTTACTAATGACTAAGATAGGATGCTTTGTCCCATTTTGTAATCCATGCATTGGTTTTTGGGATTGACTAATAATATCTGACATTTATATTGTGCCTTAAGATTTGCAAATCACTTTGACATACTTTGCAATACAACATTTTAATTAGCATTGTGGAATAGTCATAGAATGTTTCTGTTACAGTCCACTGATGTCTGCGAACAAATTTTGAGAGTGGTGAGTAGGTCCAATCGATTGGAAGAATTGGTTTTAGAAAATGCCGGGCTTAGAACGTAAGTACTTACCTGAATACTTCTTTTTAAAATGTACCTCCCACCCTTTTTATTTATACTTTCAGTAAATGCAAAATTTCAAAAGTTTGTCAGCCTAGAGGTATAGAGGATGCTTTTTTAGGAGCAGACCAATCATATTCTTTCTCTCTTTCAGCACTATGAAAGTCTGTGTTTTTAAGCACTTAAAATTATCCAACACTTTGTATTTGATGACCCCTGATGCTTTGGGTTCACTTGATATTTTATCCTTTCTCAGTTACTCTGTTCTGTTGATAAATCTTTACTGCTCCTCTCCATTGGCACATCAACACTTAGATATTCTTCATTTCATGATTAGTAGTCATTTAATGGGCTCTGTCCAGGTCATGATAATCAAAAAGCTTAAATTCGCTGGAACAAAGAATTGTAATACCACAAAGTGTGAGAAGGAGAGAGTTTCTTAATCAAAACATTTAATGCTTTATTTAAAGCTAAACATAACTAAAATAATGATCTTGATTTTGTGATAAATTATAGTGCTGGCAAAAGCTACAATTTTAGCTTTTAAACTCAACAATTAAAGCAATCAGCTTTGCATTCATGAGTAGTTCATGGAATGAGAAATAAAATATAGTGAGCAGCCTGCTACAATTTTCAGAAAAACCAGGTTCAGTGTTGGAATAAAGAAACACACAGGTGCACCAAAATAAATAAATAAATAAAACCTAAAGAATTAGTCATATTTATCCATGTCCAGGGCTGTGGCTATTTTGTTCACAGATAAGTGTTGGTTATTTAATTAAAACATAAGAGCTGCCAAAGACCAGAAACTTTAAAGGAAGGAATACTTTTCTTAGTTTACAGACTGTATCATTTCTTTTTTGGAACTCATGCATTTTTCATCAGTAGAATTGCCTTTTCTTAAAATGGCTTTCTGGTTAATCCTGTAGAACCTTTTTCTGGTCACAGGAAGGTTTATCAAGTCTCCCACTGAGGAAATATATTTACATGTGATATGCCAAGTCTTCACTTGGATGTGGTATAAACTAACAACAAGATTATGAATTCCCTAAATAGATTTCACTCTGCTTCAGCTATTGTATTAACGTCCTAAAATTCTGTATTAATATTTAATCCATACTTGTTTTATTCACTTTCAGAGATTTTGCACAAAAACTGGCCAATGCCCTAGCCCATAATCCCAACTCAGGACTTCACACAATTAACCTTGCTAGCAATCCACTTGAGGATAGAGGTACTGTAATGTTTCAGTTTTTCATTGATACCAGAGTTTTAAGAGGATTAGTGAGTTTTTACTCAGCCTTTCCTGAATAACCGTGTATCACATGCTAAATTTTCCTTGTATCATTAATACAATTGGTTTTTGGCTTTATTTTTTTTAATGACTCATTATTTTCCTTCTGCACTTTATCCTGTAATTAAAATGGTGTTGACCATGACTGTCAATTTCATGGTTTTTTTTTTTTTAAAAACCTGACACCATTTTAAAGTGGTTATAGACAGAAGGGTGGAAACATGTTATTTAAAAAACAAAACTCAATTTTTAGAGATGAGAAAAGGTGAATATTTTGTTAGCATTTTCTGCTTTTGATATTTTCTCTTCTACCCATCATAATTCAATAGCAATTAATAACTAATGGGAATTAGTAATTTCCATTTCGTGTTTTTTCTGGTAATATATTTGACATTCCCCTTTCTCCATATTTTCTGCATTTTTTTATCTTATTCTTTTAAAATAATATTTATGGTATGCTTTTTTCATATTAGTTATTTTCTGAGAAATCCCTCCTTCAGTGAACCTTTCCTCATAACACCGAAATCAGCTATGGAAAAGCAATAAACAGAACGAACATGTTTATTATCTACCAGTATATATTCTGCATTCTGTGCTCTTAGTCCCCACCTGTTTATGAAGAGAAAGGAAGTCTGTTTTATCTTTTGTTCTCCAGAACTGAAATAGTTGATTACAGTTAATCTGAGACCAGAAACTTCTCCTGTTGTTTACTTGTTATTGTTGTTGTTCAGTTGTTTACTTGTTTCTGACTCTTCATGACCTGTGGACCACAGCATGCCAAACTGTCCATGGAGTTTTCTTGGCAAAGCCGTTGGAGTGGTTTGTCATTTCCTTCTCTAGTGAATTAAGGCAAACCGAGGTTAAGTGACTTGCCCAAAGTGTGTGAGACCAAATTTAAACTTAGGTCTTTATTTCTCCAGGCCTAGTGCTCTGTTCACTGAGCAATCTAGCTGTCTCCACATTATTGTAGTTCTTCTTAGTTTGTAGTTCTATGTATTTTATTCTTTTGGTTTTGTTTTCATTATTCTTTGCTATTCTCTACAGTTCTTCCCATGTTTGTATGAACTCATTAATTGTTTACTCAGTGCAGTAATATTCTATTATATTCACATACCACAATTTCATGAACAATTTCCCAGTTGATGGGTACCCAACTTCCTTCTTGGTCATTGTAGTCTCAGGGAGTGTTGCTACTGAGACATTGGTTATCTGTGGGATCTCTTTTCTGTCATTAACCTCCTTGAGGTATATGCCTAGTAGTAGGATCATTTAATCAAATAGTATAAAATAGTTGAGAGTCTTTCCTCCAATACTTCCAAATTGTTTTCCAGAGTTGTTGGTGCATTCATGTCTTCCCACATCTTTTATAAGCTTTGCTCATTTTGTGAGTGTAAGGTTCAGCCTCAGGGTTCGTATTTCTCTTATCATTAATGAATTCATACATTTTTATGTGGTTGTTGATCAGTGTCTGGCACATACTAGAGCCTTTAATAAATGTTTGTTATTGATTGATCATTTGCATTTCTTCTTGTAAGAATCCTTTGTTTACTTAAGTGATAGAACCTACTCATTCCTTAAAACCCTTAAGTTCTATTTCTTCTATGCAGCCTTCCTTGACAACACTTAGAACACAGTGCTGCAACCCTCCCATCTAGGCAAATCAATGGCTAAGTGGATAAAGTGTTAGGTCTGGATTCAGGAATGCCTGAGTTCAAATCCAGCCTCAGTTACTTACTAGCTATGTAACTTTAGGCAAATCTTAACACCTCTGTTTGCCTCAGTTTCCTCAGCTACCAAATAGGGATAATAATAACACTGACTTCCTAGAGTTGTGCAGATCAAATAAAATAATATTTGTAAAGCACTTAGTGTGGTGTCTGGAACATTGTAGGTGATTGATAAGTACTTATTCCCTCCTGCTTCCCTATCTAAGAACTCTGTTAGCATTCATTGTGATTATTTTTAATTTGGCACATATTTCCTGCCTTGTATTTTTGCTTTTTTTTTTTTTTAAAAAACCATGTCTTCTATTCCAAATTGGATTATGTATTCCCTTAGGGGAAAAAAGATGACATTTATACTTCATACACTTAACGTCCTGTAGCCCTTAGCCAATACCCTTACAAGTAGGGGAACCTGCTAGAGCTTGTACTCTCCTGGCATTATCTTGAAAATCCTCGATTACTATCACTGTACCATGGTGAAGTATCAGTCAGCCATTTTGTGATATGATTTTGTTTACACTATTCATGTTTTTAATAATCCCTTTCTATAAGAATAATAAATCATTAGATCATCCTTGAACACATTCTGAATTAGTGGAATCTAAATTAGTCTACAGAAGCTTGTTGTTCATTCATTTCAGTCATGTTCAACTCTTTGTGACCCCATCTGAAGTTTTCTTGGCAAGGATACTTGGCTTACTATTTTCTTCTCTAGCTCATTGTATAAATGAGGAAGTGGAGGCAAACAGGATCCAGGGACTTGTCCATGGTCATACAGCTCATAAGTGTCTGAGGCCAGATTTGAACGCAGGAAGATAAGTCTTCCTTACTCCAGGCCTGGCTCTCTATCCATTGTGCCACCTAGCTGCCCCTTAAAAAAGCTGTCCTATCATAAACAAAGTCGCTATTGTTTAAACCTTAAGATTCTAGCATGGCATTTAAAATGGTGTTCTCTCTCCATTCTATACTTTGCTCTTTCTGCTTACCAACACTTTGTCTCATATTATAATTGGCAGTACATATGAAATTTTTCATGATTCTACTGTTGGGTTTGATGTCTTTTGTGTGGCCAGAATAACATGGCTAAATTAATAGCCCTTTTCTCCCCTGCCTTTTCCTCTCTCATACGCCCATACTCAGAAGTCATCCTCATCTTCTTCTTTGTTGTCTTCTTTGGCATAATCTCCTCCTCCTCTTCTTTTCCTTCTCCTTTTCCTCCTTTCCCTTCTCATTCTCCTTATTCTTATTCTTCTAAATTTAATTCTTCTTCTCCTTCTTTTCCTTCTCCCACTCCTTCTCCTCCTCCTTTTCCCTTCATCTCATATGTCCTATTTCAGCTGTACTTACTTAAGCCACCTTCTTTGCCTGAGTCTCATCACTTTATCATTGTTACCCTGGCCTTTGCTGTTGTCTAACCATTTAATGATCCTTGCATTGATCCCTGGCTATGTGTGGGGCATGGGGAGGGTCCTACAGATTCTGAGACTTCCCCCCACTTACCTGCCTACCTGACTCTATTTTCACATTTCTCGCTGCTCTACTCCAGCTTCAGAATTTCCTGATTTTTTTTTTTTTTATGTTCTACCTCTAATCTTCTTGAATACGAAGCCTGTTTACAGGGGAAATGAAATCAATTCCTCATGGGACATTTTTATTATTGCTAAATATTCCCAAGGTAAAAACTAGAGAATAAATAACGTGATGGTGAAGATTCAGTAAGAAACACAGTTTAGTGTAAAAAACTTATATTGAGATTTCAGTCTAGGAGAAGTATTTGGGGTGATTAGACTTTTTATCACTTTTATTGACTGCCTATGTTACTTCTGAAAGCAATTAAAAGTACAGTCACAGAGTGTTTATGTTTTTTGGACCTCAGTTCCCTTATCTGAAAAATGAGAGCAATGGATTAGATCTCTGAAGTCTGTGAAGTGACATTACCAAAATTGGATTGTGATCATTAGATTTGACAAGGCACATGCAATGCTGTAGGAAAGCAGCACACTCCTTGTTTGTTCAAGCCACATGAATATTTGGTCACTTCCACACACTCTCGGCAGGGAGGCATTGGCTATCATGTCCTGTCTCTCTTTTACTAGCGCCAGTAACATATGTACTATCATCTGGTAGAAGTTATGGTTATTCTATAGTTGTTCCATGTAGAATGAGAAGCTGCTGCATCCTCAGAAAGTCCAAATTCCTCCTGTGGTAGAAAAACCTCATACCACTTATTGTTGATTTACAGGTCTTTCTCAGTTGTTTGTTTCACACTTTTCCATCCTCCATCCCCCTTAACTCTGGTATCTTTGAACGCTTTTTGTCTTTACTTTTTGAGGTTTTTTTTTTAACTTTTTTTTTTTTACCATTTTATAGTTGATTATTTATGTGGTTTGATTGCACCAGAAATGATATTCTTTTGGATCTCATTTGTGTCTAGACAAAATGCATTATCTTTAAAATGTACAGTTTTTCTGTCTTCGATCATTCCATTCTTGAGTTCCCTGGAGATTCTAAATTTTGTATATTTTTCTACTCTTCCTTTTCTGATCTTATTGTAAATGCCCTTTTGGAGACTTTGAGTAAGCCTTTTTAACATCACTATGCTAAATAAAATATTTTCTTAGAAGCTTATTTCTTTTAAAAATTTTCACCTGAAGGATTCTAGAATTTCTATCTAGAATTTTTCATCATGAATTTCTTGTGAAAAAAGTAAAGGATATATATGTATATATATAAAAGAAAGATAAATGGATTCTGGAATGGAAAAAATGATAGATAACGAGGTATTGCAGGACTAGAGAAAGGCAAATTTCCCTGTCTCCCACTACCCCCACAAAAAAGAAAGAAATGGAGAGAGTGAAATCTTTAAATAGTAGGCAAATGAATGACCTTGATTCCAGCAACATATTAAAGGGATGGTTAATGAACATCTGGAAAAGGAAGTGGTGATAACAAAGAACTAGCCTGGTTTCAACAAGAATAGGTCACACCTTAGTAGCTTCATTTCCTTTATTGAGAAGATTATGAGACTAATAAAATACATTGTCTTCTTTCTCTTTGCAGTCCTTTGTTTTTTATGAGGCCTTTTCTCATCCCCCAACTACCTTCCCTTTGAAAGTTTATTTACTTTGTATATATTTAGTATTTAAAATTTTTAGAAAGCTGATTAGTAAAACCAAGTTCTCTCTATCTCTCCCTCTTTCCCTTCTCCCCTTTTCT